CTTTGGGCAGGGGGGAAGGGGGGAAGGGGAGGGAGGGGCCCTGGGGCAGAGGTGGCTCCAGAGCGGGAACTGCTCTTGGGGGCTGCAGCACCACGTGGCTCCCACCCTGCAGCTCTAATTTCCCATCACACACAGCATCGTCTCTGCCACACTTGCAAGATGTTTTCTTTCAAAAAGACTTCTTTGCAGTTCCTAACAAAAGGAATGCGTCTTTATCCAGGATTGGGGAGGAAGCTGGACCCGATGTCGGTAACCCCCACTGTCTTCCAGGCCACCGGCCACTGTATGGCTGTACACAGTAACACTCCTTGCGTGCTAGAGGAGCTGTTGGTTAATTCCGAGAGAAAGATAGGCGTAACTTTCCAGCAAGTATTAGTGGGTTCTTCACCAGCAGAGATCTGCCTCCTCCCTGGGCCTGAATTGGGGCAGCTACTCCAGCGTTCGCTTGCCGCTCTGCTGCTGGCCAGCTGTGCTGCCTGGAGGGGTTAATCCCTGCCATGGTGGGCGGGGGGGGGTGACTTGGCAGCCCGAAAAAATCTCAAGGACTCGGTAGCAGCTGTTCAAAGGCATCAGCATTCTTTTGTTAATAAAACGTGTTAGTCGGAAAAGGGGCTACTCCTGCTTTTTCTCCAGCACAGGCTGGCCCGGCTCTCCTCCTCCCTGGTTCCCACACCACCCACGTAAAAGGCGGGCAGCGCTTCGACTGCACTGCCACGGCCACCGACTTGACTTTTTCGACCCCCTTGCTTGCCAGTAAGAAAAAGGAGCTTTTTCTTGTTCTTCCTAGCAGGACGCCTGTTGTGCCGGCGGGGAGGCTTCTCGCAGCCACCCGGCCTTGCACCCGCAGCCACGGGAGAAGACGGCCACGAGGAGGGTCAAGAGGGCGTGGGTCATTCCTCCCATCAGCATGCCGGAGAACCACCGGCGGGTCCCCCACCTCCTGGTCCAGGTGAGGCTGGAGAGGGCAGGGCAGCAGGCGGTTCCCTCGCCCAGGGTTTGTTGAGGGAATGGCGTTTGGGGCAGGGCCGGGTGAGGGAGACGGGGATGGAGGACCGGCACGGCCTCCTGCTGCTGCCGCGCCCCTCCCCTCCAGCCCCCTTGCTTGGGGTCTTCCGTACAGGAGGAACGGCTGGACAGTGACTCCCTGGCCCAGCGCTGAACTCCTCCTCTGGCCTCCACATGCTCTCGCTGCTGCAGTCAGATTTAGCCCAGCTGTAGAGACAGGGCAGTGGGGAAAAAAGGACTTTTACAGGCAGACACGAAGGTGACAACATGCACTCCAACTCGCCTATCGTATAAACATTGCCACCATTTTGCCTGTTTGGGGATTAGCATTACGAGGGATTGTGTAGCCGCACCCCACCCCTCCTTTAAGTCCATGCACGTGATGGCCTATGGCTGTGGCTGTGCCGCTCTCGATTCCTCCTGACTTACTAGCCCACGTGTCCAGGGGCATCTCACTCTCCACCAGACTTCAGAGGAGAGTCATAATTCACCCACTAGGCCTCATTCGGCACGCCACAAGTCCCGTGCTCATTCTGAGCATCTGCAGGAACAGCTGGGAAAACTGTGGCTGAAACTGCAGCTGTAGGACTCCATGGGCCAATAGTCCAACTTAGGAGAAGACGGCTTCTGCTGTTCCTAAGCCTGGTGGGAATTCAACCCTATCTGGTTTCGAGGGTGGGGGGAAGAGAAACATTTTGGAAGATTAAGCCAGACCTTTCTCACACCCTGGAGTCTGTTTCCCCCTCTGCAGATTAAATCAGACAAGCAGCAGCCGGGGGTTGTGGTCTACAGCATTAAGGGCCCCGGCGTTGATGAAGATCCCAAGGATATCTTCTCCATTGATAAGTTGAGCGGCAAGGTCTACCTCAACGCCATGCTGGATCGGGAAAAACATGATCGCTTTCGGGTAAGGGCAGGCTGGGGTTGGACTGGGATCAGTTCAGGATTCGGATGTTTTGGTGTCCCCCCAAGTTCCGGCCGAAGGGCAGAGGCACCCAATGGCCAGGAAGTCGGCCTACCTCTGTATCAAACTCTCAAGGCATTGCCCTGCCTACCCCATAAGCCGCTTCGACTCCCATACGGGAGCAGAGGCTGGTCTTCCCCAGCTGAGATGGGCCTCCCTTTGCTCTCCTGGCAACCAGCTCAAGGCTTTTGCCCTGGATCTGGGTGGAGTGCTTCTGGAAGATCCCACGGACTTGGAGATCGTTGTCCTGGACCAGAATGACAACCGGCCACTCTTCCAGCAGGACGTGTTCACGGGCCACGTGGTAGAAGGGGCTGAGCCAGGTGGGTGCACCAGACCTTCCCATGGATCTGGCCAAAGAGCTACTGGTGGGAGCATCTTCTAAGAGGCAGAACTGATTTTGTTGTCCTTTCCACGTGTTCTCCTTTGATCTGGGGCATGCGTAGGCAGGACACTGTGACTGTTTCCTTCTAGTGACCAGAACGATGGGCCAGCCCTAGTTTGGAAATGAGGTCCATTAATTTTCATTGTGTGCCTCCAGACTTGCAAGCCATCTCTTTCATTATTTACACAGCTGCATAAAAGCAGCACCACCTGTACAATTTCTGGCTGCCCTTAGAAACACAAACGATAAAGCAATGATAAACTTTATCATCTTGACCCCTACCCTTAGTTCTCCCATAGTTACAGCAGGACACCTGGGCGTGTGGCGCTTAGTCAGGTCGCAGAGCAAATACTGTGCTGTATTGATTAAGTCTGCCAGAGAGCAACTGGGTTTCCAAAGGATGCCTCGAAAAGCTCCAGCAGTGAGAGAAGGTGGGCCGCACTTCCTCCCAGGCGGGTGCTCTGAAACAGCTTGATGTATTCCCAGGGACGTTTGTGTTGAAAGCAGAAGCCACAGATGCGGATGACCCCGAGACGGACAACGCGGCCCTGAGATACTCCATCGTGGGCCCCGGAGCGGGAGAGCTCTTCACAATGAACGAGCTCTCCGGGGAAATTCAAACCGCTCACGTTGGGCTTGACCGGGAGGTAGGAACGTCTCCGCTGTTTCCGGATGGAGGCTCCGGGCACAATAAGGGATGAACGGGCACAAAATGAGAGTGGAAAGGAAAAGGAGATCCTACGTCAAATGTCTGGGCCACTTTTCTAACTTTCACTAAGTCTTTCAACTACTGTAGAATCCTCTGGAATTATTATTATAAAACGTTCCCGGAGTTGGATGCCCTTGGACCAAGATACTTTAGAAAAACAGATCATTCACTGAGCATTATTGCTCAATTATTTTTAGCAACAAGGCTTGGATTTATTTTATTATTAAAGACTGTGCTACAAAATCTTATTTAAAACATCAAGTTGACGAAATATGATGCATTTATAGCCAATGTTTTGCTTTACTTGATTTGCAAAACTCTGTTTCAGCTTAGCCGACACCCGGGTACCTCAGTAAAGAGCAGGAGTGCAGGTCATAAAGTCCGGCTGTTACTCTGCCGTCCAGCGCATGAGGCGAGGCACAGCCTAGTTCGGTTTGTTGGCAACCCAGGACATCACTGTAAATTCCTGGCACGTTTTCCTGTTTCTGGCACTCCCTGCGCAGGTGACGGGTGTTTACAACTTGACGCTCCAAGTGGCTGACATGTCTGGAGAAGGCCTGACCACCACAGCTACAGCGGTCATCTATGTGGAGGATGTCAATGATAACCCACCTGAATTCACGACGGACAAGGTGGGGAGACCAGCTACTCTGCCTGGCGGGAGAGGATGGCGTAAAGGCGCTTAGGGGCCCCCGCACAACTCCCTTACTTGGGCATCTCCACCCAGGCCCTGGCTGTGCAAGGGTCCCCTGGTGCAGGAGGTGAGCCAAGAGCTTAGAAGGTGAGGTTCCGGAGCCCCACGGCATCATGGGATGCAAGGGATGGGTGCCAATCTTGGACTGGCACAGCCCTTACGTGTGACAGATGTCTTATCTTACCCTACTAATAGGTTAGGCAGAGAAGAAGCAGCTGGCTTGCAATTATATGGAGAACTCAGCTCTGCCCTGTTCTTTGTATATGGCACCAGCCGCTGTTCCACCTTGACTCAGGAAAACCCTTAAGTCTGGAATGGGTGGGTGGGTGGGACGGGTAGGAAATGAATCTTCCTTGACCCTGTACTTCCCCTAGCTGTTAGAAACAGGAGCTAAAGGATCCATCCCCAACAGCACAATGGTTGGGTCCCTCCACCTGTGCACTGTAGGGGCCACATGGGAGTTAAAAGCTCCCTTCACTGCTTTGAGAACCACACTCAGCTGGCACAAAAGAGCTTCTTCTGTCCTGGGGAAGGAGCAGGAGCAGGACTGGGGGGGTGTCCTCAGCAGTCCGCTCAGCCTCCCTTTTAATGCTACCCTCCCTTTCTCTTGCAGTTCCACATGGAGGCCCCTGAGAACAAGCAAGGGGTGGAAGTTGGGCGGGTGATGGTGCAGGACAAAGACCAGCCTGGCTCTCCCAACTGGCTGGCCAAGTTCACCATCCTGGAGGGTGACCCCAGAGGAGCTTTTGCCATCCACACTGACCCCCTGACCAATGAGGGGGTCCTCTCTTTGGTTAAGGTAAGGAGAGCGCTTGACACAAGTTCCAGGCTCCGCTCCGGAACAGGGGCAAAGCGGGGGCAGTTTCTGGGCTGACACAGAGGGGATTCACCCTGCAGCTTTAGGCGAGCATAGCACATCTCCTCCCCGTATGTCAAGGGCTGGGTGTCCTGTCTGGAATCAGAGGGGCTTCTGGACAGAAGCTGGATAACAGCAGGTCTCAGCCTTTAAGGAAAAACGGGCATGAGAAGACCCTCTCTGGCGAAGTGCTGAGAATTTTCCTGCCAGCAGATGGCAGTCGTGGTCAGCTCCTGCTGCTCTGCAGGAGAAGACTTTCGGGAGCCAGAAGAGGAGCGCGGAGGGAATGCAAGTTTACATTCCTGCACCTTTCGCGCCAGGATGGGGGGACAGAGCAAATGCACAAACTGGGGCTTTTGCTGTAACGGCCAGAAGAGCTCGCTGCCTCCCCACCGTGTCTTCCCATCTCTCTCCCGCTTGCCAGGCGTTGGACTACGAGGAGCAGAACCATTACGAGCTGCTGATTTCCGTGCAGAACCAAAGCCCGCTGGACCCGTCAGTCCGAAACGTGGCCCATGCCTTGGCTACGGTGCAGCTGCAGGTGGTGGACGCCAACGAACCCCCCTTCTTCCAGGATGATCCCTGCAGGGGCAACGTGAACGAAGGCGCGCCCGCTGGCACAGAGATCACCCTCTTCCACGCCAGGGACCCCGACACCCAGCAAGCTCAGGAGCTGAGGTGAGTGAGATCCAAGCCGGCCAGCGCGGATTCTGCCCATGTATGGTTGCTCAGCCAGGCTGGGTTTGGAATTCAGGGTAAAATCTAGCGATTCCACTCCCTTTTCCTTCTTGTTTTGACAATGAAGTCTCTAGCCCTCACTACTCCACCCTAAAAGCAAACCCTGCAAAAATCTGCGGAACGACTTCTATGAGTCCATGCCGGGCTGTCCTCTCCTGCCTCTGAATAAGCCCTGAACTCCGCTCACTTTCCAGATGAACCCAGGATTTCAGAGGGATCTCCTGGAGGATCTGGGAAATTGGGGAGGGGGCCTTCCTGTTCTTTGCTCTTTGGGAAGCAAGCCCTGTGCACGGGGGGGGGGGGCGGGGGGGGCACTTTCTGGCGGGCTTCCACCAGGCCCGATTCGGGGTCCGCCTGCAGCCAGCTGGCCAGGCCAGAGGCCTTCCAGTACCTGGGCAGAGGAGACAGGCTCAGGGTGTGGGGGCACGCCCCCCCCCCCCCCCAAGAGAGTGCGTACGGGGGGGGGTTACTTTCTGGCGGGCTTCCACCAGGCCCGATTCGGGGTCCACCTGCAGCCAGCTGG